TTATGTGCCGTGTCCCTTCAGGACGTAAGCGATCATGGATCTCCACCATTTCCTGTACTTTGTAGCTTTTAATAACATTTGTCTTTTTGACACGCAGTGTGTTGAAATCGTTACAGTATTTAGTATTGTTAAAGTTATGGCTAACATTTTTTCGAGGTTTGAAACTCTACTTTTCGTTCAACTTCGTAAACCAGTCAATGAAATATAAAAAATTAAAGAGCAGATACTCTAAAAAAAATTAAGTATTTGTTATTTTAGCCATCAAATTGTTTTTTTTAAATAGTGGAAGTATTTTGTATGTTAAATAATCAAAGTTTTAATTTTAAAATTTATTGTACTGAGCTACACAGAACCAAACTAGTATATATATATTCAAATAAAAAGAAAGAACAGTAAGATATGTCATCCGGTGTTCTTATTACAAAATAGTGTTCAATGTAAATTTACAGAGCATTAATATTATAAATTAACTCATTGAAATATCGGAGAAATATTCGTCCTCCGAATTTGATACGCCATGAGCAGATATGAATGTATGGGAGAGATTCATGGAAGATTGAAGTTTAAATACAGTAAATTCGACCTTGCTAACCAAACGCTCCTTCGTGGCCAAATCGGTGAAGATAAATGGCGGTTCCGTATAGGATACAGGTTCGAATCCTGTCGGAGGACGAATATTTTCTGTGAAAATTTCTCGGACATTCAGGCTGGTAAATGTTTAATACTGTTTATTATAAATAGAGCATTTACTTAAATATTTGTATCTTTAAAAAGAAGGAATGAACATAAAAATGTCTTAAAATTATTGACGGACTTAGTCAATTTCATTATATATATATATTGAGGTATGTGTTATTGAAGACAACGGAAATTTTCCGTTTAATAATATTTTTTTTCGATTTTTTCTTGTTTTCTTTGTATTTGGTGTGTTGCTGAGCGCTTTCGGTTTTCGTCGACTACCATCATGGCTGTAAGTTTTTGGTTTGAAGTAGGATGCTTTTTCTTTTTATACATAATATGTTGGGGTATTCAGGCTGTAATTGTTTTTTATTATATGGAGGATTAGATATTAAATATATTTAAGATGCTTGTACCAGTATTAAATTCTATTTTATGTATGTTGGGTTTATACTTTTTAATTGTGATGACTTCGAGAATTTGTAAGCGCTTTTTGCATTTTCTTTTTTTTATAGGATTTTGGTATTGTTGATTAGGATTTTTCTTATTTCGGAGGATTTTAATGTCATTAACGACACAGAGTGTTGCTATAAGGGGATTTTCGATGGCGCTGGTGTCATTAAGATGGTATGTAAGACGACGTGAGTGAGTTGTGGTTGTGTGTCCGATGTATGTGCTAGGGTTATTATGTGAGAAACACTTTCGAAACGAGCATGTAAACCTGTTTGTACACTACATTGGTTTTATTTAGGAACAGTCTGAGAGAATTTAAATAATCAAGTTGGAATTTTTATGTCTCTCCTTGAAAACGAATGTAGCAAGAATTCGGGGAAAGAATAATATAAACTAAAATTAAATATGAACTTTACAGGTAATATAAAACAATTATTTCGGAAGTTAAAAAAAATTTTAAAAAAATTTTATTGCCAGAACTTGTCGATATTATTTCACCAAACATATTTGAAATTATATATATATATATATATATATATAATATTTGTGCTCTGTAAATTTACATTTACCACTGTTTAGTAAAAATAAAAATATCAATAAGAACACCGGATTACATATCTTACTGTCCTTCCTTTTTTACTAAACATATATATATATATATATATATATATATATATATATATATATGTGTGTGTGTGTGTGTGTGTGTGTGTGTGTGTGTGTGTGTGGGTGTGTGAATTCCCAAAATGAAATGACCAAACAAAATGTATTTTTTAATTGAACTGATGACTTTGTATTATCCCTTCGTAAAAACTGGCTAAAATATTTCGATCAACATAAGTTGAATCCATAAGTGGTGAATAAATGACGTGAACAAATATAATTAATCTTGTCTTGCAGAAAGTATTTAAGCTTGAAATAATGGTTAACGAGGCTGGAGTTGTTGAAAATTTCCCGCGGTTCGTCCACACTGGGAATCCCATGCCGTATAAAATTCAGCATTATATATTCCAGTAAGGCTTGATGTGTTCTAAAAGCAACAGACACAACTCAACCCAAACCTATTTTTTAATCAAAATATGAATCGCAATCAAAATTTTCAGAATATCTTTCGCTATTATTTAAAGAATTCCACTCAAAATACCGGTGAAAAGGCTCTGAAATAATTTAATTCATTCTGATCGATGGTTCTGCTCAGGGTGAAGTCAATTCTTTTCTAGTTTTAGTCTTTCTATTCACATTGAAATTGGTTGGGACTTGTTGAGAGTTTCCTTGAAAAGACTCCCCAAGTCTGCCCAGCCTATCTTCCTTCTGTTGAAGCAAGTTTTCAAAGCAGAATACTTTAATGAACATTAAGTTTGCTATGCGCGCAAATTGTTCACTTTCCTTGATCGGCGCCTTCGATTGTAGATTTGGCAGCGAAGCGACGGGTAATAACTTAAGTTCAGTCGATTTTGGAAACGAATAACTTGTTGGATTTTAATGACGCTAGTTAGTAATTAACAGAGGACGTCGACTGACAGGTTGGCTACATTTTGGGATGGAGATTGATTTTGGCTACGGCGACGTTGGATTTAAGGGTCGTCCTGGTAATGAAGGCTAAGCTAGCGATGTATGACAAGTGGAAAGATGGGTGTAAGTATGTTTACGAAAAGGTCGTGTTGTAGATGATTGTGAAAATAATGACAACGCTGACACAAAAGAAGAGAAAGGAAACACATAAAAGGAAAACAAAAGACAAAAGAATGAAATAAAAATGAACTAAAGAACAAATAACTTCTTTTAGGTGCCGTGTCCCTTCAGGACGTAGATGATCATGGTCCACCACATCTTCCTTTCCCTACTATCTCTTAATAAATTTTGTCTGTTTGTTATTTCTCCCAAACCCTGGTTTGGTTTAGTTTGTTTTGTTTTACGGCATATCAACCTCAATGGATTACTTAATGCCGACAATTTTTTTTTATTGCTGGTAATATTTTGTCAAAAATCTGTTTCTGGTAATATTTTTTCTTCAAAAATAAATTGATGGCAATAAGTTTTTTCAAAAAATAAAGCTGGTAATATTTTTTCTTTCAAAAATGTGTTACTGGTAATAATTAATTATTTGCCCATACCTGTGACCCTAACAGATGCTACCACCCCGGGTCAAGATGGACTTGGGATCACCAACAATTAAGAGATGGTTCCACGCTCCTCAAAACCTCCTAACCAGAGGCCTTGCTGCTGGACTTAGTTTATCGTCTTACCCAGGACGCGGATGTAGTTTATTATCATACCCAGGACGCTCCCAAACCCGGTCCGACATATCCATTTGCTCATGCCCATCAAGTATGGTACGCGCTGCTTTCCCCTGTCCTTTTCACATCAATCTGTCCTGTAAGTATCGAATTTTCCAAGTCTTCTTTCCTCATTACGTACCCCAGGTATTTCAACTGTTTCTTTCTGATATTTAATATGAATTTCCTTTTTGCTTCCATTTTCTCCAAAACCTCGTCTTTGCTCACATGTTCTGTGCATCCTTCACCATTCTTCTGTAGAACAGCATTTATGTTGCTTCAAGTCTCTTCATCTTTGAAGTAATTGTCCCACATTCGCTGCCATACAGAAGGGCAGATATCACGTAACAGTCCAGTACACTTTTCTTTGTTTCTAACGAAATTTTCCTGTCTCTTAATACTCTACTTAGCTTTTGGTATTCATATTCCGCCATCCTAATACGTCTTCGGATCTCAGTGTCGCACTTCGCGTCTTCTGCTAGAACACTTCCCAGATATTTAAATGTTTGTACTTGTTTGATTTTAGTATCCCTGATTTGTAATTTGCATTTTGGGCTCATCCTTTTGCTGATAACCATGCATTCTGTTTTCTTGAAGTTTACACTTAGTCCTTTCTTCTCGCTTTCCTTCTCTACCTTCTGTAGGAGCTTTTGTAGTTTCTTTTACTTTTCTGCTAGATGGAGTTAATATTTATATATTACATTTCTCCCAATGCAAGTCTCGGTAGCCTATGAAGGTAGATGATTACAATCGAACTGCTTATGTCAAAATGAGGTTTGTGAAAGAGAGCAGAATACGAAATAAAAATTTGGACGACAGTGATTGAATCTTAACTTGAGGCGGTCAGGATTAAATTGTGCGGGAAAATATCCACGCCGGGCTTTGTTCTACAAGATGGCATTTCTTGGGAAAAAATTGTCTAAAAGTTACCTTCTTATTGCATTTGGAGCCAATTAAGTGACCCGACACTGTGGAAGTGAAACGGCGTTTCGTAAATGCAAAGGTCGGAACTGGTGAATCAAAAGAATGGTACTCATTTCAATATTTGCCTTGGAAATAGCGATATAGTGTCGTGAAAGTCTTGAACGTTGCTTCTGTAAATCAGCGCTTGCAGGTCAGTGGCTGAAGGTCAGTGCTTTCAGAATGGAAAATAAGGCATCACGCACATGACCACGCAAACAATTCTGAACTCTATCAATGTTGGATGGTGATTATGGAGCATTTCCAGCTCAGATATGGCAGTATTACTCTATTTTTTTCTCTGATATAATTATTTGCAGACATTTCTTCTTAATTCGTGGAAAACTATGGTATAAGAATTGTGGGTAGTGGAGAAATCCCAGTGTAGGAATAAACGAAAGCAATACAGTAGTGTTCATATTGATTAAATCAGAAGTGGTTTTTAGCACAAACATTGATGGCTAGTATTCATGCTTTGTTAAAAAAAAAAAAAAAAAAAACAGTGGTTTCAGGGATTCCAAAAACAAGAAATTTACGAAAGAATTCGAAATCGATACAAATGTCAATTTATTTTTATCCTACTGGTTCTTTCTTCTCATTCTCTTTCTTTACCTACAAATCATATTTACTAACCTCAGCTGTTAGAGTAATATTATTCATCAAAATATTACCCGTCGCCGGCAGAAACGAACGCGAATGCCACGTGGGCCAGTGAGTAAGCAGAACTGGCGCTGTAGGATCAACCATATGTCCGGCTAAGGTGCCTAACGCGACGCCCATGAGATCACCAAAAGGCTGTCGATCAATATAGACAGCGTGACGGTGGCCACGGAAGACCGAATTCGCTAAGGAGTGTGTAACAATTCCAAATGGATGGCGCTGAAGCGAGGGACCGATGCCGGACCGTCACGCCATTATATTATCCGCATGTATTTTATTAAATGAAACATTCTAGCGAGGATTGGCGTTGGACTGGTGCTGCAGAATAACAAAAATTAATATGTGGCAAATAACAGAAACCACATCACCTGAAGACATTCAGCAGCAGCAATAAATAAAATGGCTATTCCATGTAATTCGAAGAGAAAGTAATGGCATAATCAAAATGTTAGCGTTCCACGCAATTTTGAGCAAAAGATTCAGTACAGGAAACAGTTATTGAATTTGTGTCACCTCTTTTCCTTAAAAATTGCTTGGATCTTTTCTGTTAATTCACCCCAAATAATGTAAAGTTACTTATCGCAAATATTAATTCACTCCAAGAAATTATAAATTTTAAATCAAAATTTGTTTACCTTACGTGCAACAATTCCAACACTCAGACAGAAAAATTGCCAAAAATCAGGGAGTTATTCACATTTCGCAAGGGCGGTTGATATCAGAGTTACTTACAAGGAATTTTTTACAATTTAAAAGAAAAGAAAAAATCTTTTTTTTTTTCCGCTTGTTTATCGCGGTGAGCGCGATTTTGACCCCACACTTAGAAATAACGCACACGTGTCACTCAGATTTTCGGTGATCCAACCGCAGTACAATGGATGTGCCTCGCTCTGAGAGGATTTGGTTTTAATTTTAGTAAATAAGAATCATTTTTATTTTGGAGTGAATTAATATTTTAGGCTATATGAACAGAAAAGATCCAGTATAAAGATGTTATAAATTTCAAGATGAGGAAAACCGGAGGCCACACCGGCTGAAACGGTGTGATAACAACAACAAAGATAAGGACAATAGTTAGAATTTTAATAGTGTAAACAATGATAATACTTATACCATAAATTCAGACCAAAAATAAATTATATTCTTCAGTATAATACGACCCCGTAGTAAAGTCATCGCTATTCAAATTTCTTTAGAAAAGTTGTAGCGTACCATCCATTCAAATTTCAATGTTCTACATATATTTCACTAAAATATTTATTTTTTCACGATATTAAAGAATAGAAATGAACAGGATATTTAACCACTATGATTTTTCTTCTAATTTACTTTTCAAGACTTTTTTAGGCAAGGTGCTAATTAGACATACACAGCAATCCATTTTAAGATTGTTAATTAATCTAACCAACTTTGCTGGGCTGACATTATTATATTTCTATATATTAATAAACTATGAAAATAATAAAATATTGCCTTTCATTAAAAATAAAGACAGAAAACTTTATTAAAAAAAAGAAAAGAAAATATAAAACAAATATAAACAAACTTTACATTCTTCAAATTATTGTCATATTCACGACGTTTCGGCCGTTATACGCTCCGGCCTCCTTTATGCGATATACGTTGGAATTTCGAACCCTTCATTTTGTCCACAGGTAGATTGTTCTAGTTCTACCTGCCATGTCTTTTCTGGATATCTCTATTGTTTTCCTGAGATATCCTACTGGGGAGAAGGTGAGAGTTTAATGGAACTGACATCCATTAAAACATTGCGAGTGGAACTAGAACAGTCTACCCCAGTGAGCGAAATAAAGGGTTCAGTTCGACATTCCAACCACCTGAAGAAGCCCGGAGCGTACAACGGCCGAAACGTTGTAATAAATATGGCAACAAATATGAGGACAATAGTCCGAATAATTTATATATATATATATATATATATATATATATATATATATGCCTTTCTCTCAGTAAGTATAGCATGAGCGTCAAAATGTGGCGTTTATCTTCTATGTAGTTACTGTCTACCGTAATGGCTAATCGATTATGAAGTCGCTTACTCAGGAATATTTGTGTTTATGCGACATCCACTGAGCTTACGTTAGTTACACTTTTTGGGAGAGAACGTATAAACTGGCGTGATCAGCAACTTGATCGAGGAGAGTACGGTCACAGTCACAGTCATGACGACTTGTGACTTCGTATTAGTACAACTATTGGCCGTAAACAAAATGTTTAATCTACCCAATGTCACACACTAGCCTTGAGGCAATACGTGGTATGGGTTTTAGTCGCTTTATAACAGTAGCGCATGTTGAGATCATCTCCTCAGGGCGACATTATTTGACCATTGTCACATTCGAGCCCGAATTTCATAGACAAAATGCTAATACCCTAATTTGTCAACCATGCACCCAGCAAACACTATGCTGAAAAATATACATTTCTATCGTATTTTTAAAAAAAAAAAAACTATATATTTGCATAATTTCTAAATCCTACTTGCTTTGTTTTAGAACAAATAAGACAAGGATTTTTCGTCGCTATATTCTTGAACGATCTATGAATACCCAGTTTATTTTTACGGCTTATCAACCCTTCATAGGTTATTTAAAGTCGAAACCTATTTCGTATTGAATAAATACTTTTATTTAGAGTGAATATTGCATTTACATTTTTTTTAGAATACCAATACAATACAATTTGATTGGTTGATTACTTTTCTCTGGCTTATCAATCCATTGCAGGTTATTTAAAGCCAGAAAAATATATATTTTATATTATGAGAATTTTTTGGGAGATAATAATGATTTAATGACGTAAGTCTTAGTAAATAATCCATAGCTGGTAAAAGAAGAGGGGGGACTCATACCTTTCTCAATGGTATTTGCTTGTAAGTGAATATAACGATCCCAGCAGGAATTTGAACTCGGCTTTATCGATTCACAATCGAGCCATTACACCACCCGCACTTCGAAGCTTACAGCACCTGGTATTCCCACGTGATCAGTAACCCGACTTGACATTGTTTAACTTCGGTGCTCCTACGAGACTTCTAGATACATATCCTACGATGTAAGTTATAACTGATGGGTAGGAATGGATTCATACCTTTCTCAAGGGTAGTTGCACGGGCATGAATATAACGAATTCGACTAGAATTCGAACTCAGCTCTTCGAGTTCTCATAGTGAACAGTTACCCACTACGCCGGTCGCACATCCACGCCTAAAATGTATGTCTTGTATATCAAAATGGTTCTAGAAGACCTACTATTTACACATAGATAATAGGAAAAATGGTTTCATTCTTTCCTCAAAGGCGTAAGTTCAAAATAAAAGTAAGCCATTCCAGCTGGAATTTGAACTCGTTTCATCAAATCTATTCATCATGCCAATAACCGTTAAATCAGTGGTTCCCAAACGATGCGGCACGCCTCATTGATTCTGCGGAAGAGGATAGCAGATGAGGCGAAAGAGGATAGCAGGTGAGGCGGAAGAGGATAGCAGGTGAGGCGGAAGAGGATAGCAGGTGAGGCGGAAGAGGATAGCAGGTGAGGCGGAAGAGGATAGCAGGTGAGGCGGAAGAGGATAGCAGGTGAGGCGGAATGATTGAAAGACAATCAAAGATTTAAAAATAGTTTTAAACAATTCATATGCTGAAATCAAATATGGTTTCAAAATTTATAGTGGATTATAAAAAGTTATAAATAATTATTGACCGATTTTAATATAGTGATATTTTTTCATTACATCAAGTATTAAGAATATAGTAAAAAGAGTCTGCAAATTGGAGGAGAGAGTTATCAACAATAATGTTCTGACTTTCCATCCGCGGTTATCTACTTTTAACCCCTTCTCTTTTTTTATTTTTAAATGTACTTTTTATCACATAAAATTTGGTGAGGCGCGAGCAAATTATCATTGCGAAAATGCTGCCCAGGAAAAAAAAGTTCGAGAACCACTGCGTTAAAAACCCCACCTCTCATAATATATAATCAGAATAAAAAAAAAACTAAATAATTATTCAAATTTTTGACTAGACTACAGCTTACCTCTTGGTTGTTACCATGACGATGTTTCGACATTTGAACACGCCGGCCTTCTTCGCGTGCCTGTCTCAATTGGTAAACTTCCGTTAATTTAGAAAACGTTTTGATTCAATTCACAAGAGATGTTTCGCATTACATTGTCCATGATGGAAATTATTTTGTACCTGTCATTTCATTATTTCTTGTCTCTTAAAGTAAACCAGAATTTTTAACATTTTACACTAACCGATGCAGTGATTGAACTCACAACTTCCTGATAATTCCATTTCTATGTGACAATGACAAGCAAGATGAAGCTAGTTCGAACAAGTTATTTTATAAAAATATTAAAATATCAAAACGGGTTTCAATAGAAAAGAATCAGAAAATTCGGCAACACTCGTCATTTTTTATGTTACTCACTCCGCTTAGACAACTGCCTTAAAATATTCCAGAAGAAATATTTTTAGTTTTCCCATGTTCCATTGAAATAAACAAGGATGTTCCGGAAATAAAAATGGCAATTGGCCGAAGAGAATTCTGGGATATTTTGAGAATGATTGTTTATCTATTTTTGAATACAATAAATTTTATTTCGATTTTGTTTTAATGAAGTTTGCAATATTCCGAACTAGAAGTTGTGTTTTAAGGGGCTTCCAAACTATAGAGAATGAGAAGAAAAAAAAGAACAATTTTATTTTTCATTATTAAAGTTTAAACGTGTATTCGAAAGGAATTTTTTGATTTAATGTTTCTATTTCAATAATTAATTTTTGGACAAAAAACTGCAATTATTTTTCGCCATTGCTGCTAGCAATTACAAGCGTCTTTCTGAAGGTGTGAGTATTTTTAGTAATGACGTTTATAAATAATAAACTTCATATTATTGTATTTAAAAATATAATTTACCCTCAGTGTGTTGCTCTATCTTTTTTATTTCTTAATGTTTTTTTTATAACTAAAGAAATTTTCTTAATTAAATTAAAAAACACAAATGTAATATCGTATTCAAAAAGAATTCTTATTGTTTGGCGCCATATTGCTTGCTTTTATGAATGGCGAAAACAAAAGCACCGAAAAATATTCGGGTT